CCACAGACCAACGAATCCGAAAGATATACCGTGTCAAAAAACAAATAGGAAGAAAGCAAAAGTAGATATGAACAATGAACATGCATTCTCCGACTCCTCAGAAACTACAAGTCTTAATTCCAACTTTGACAAACAGAGTATTAAATCGTCTGATACTCGGTTTACTCAAAACGATACAACGGATCTGTCCTCCAGTTCAAAGCCCACTGTAAAATCGTCGGATACCAATAAGAATGGTTACCGTTTAGAAAAAGACGAATCGAAGGAGCAAATCTTTGAGTTCGAACGCCACGTACGTTCGCAATCAATGACTTCGGTTAATATAACGATCGCTAATCCGAACGTGGAGAATATTGATTTGACCCCGGACTCGCTGTCTAGTGACAGGTTCATCAGGTCACTGTCGCTGAGCTCGTGTGATGAGGGTAACCCCAACTGGATGAGCACGCCAGAGTTCTTGGCGTTGAAGCACAATTTAGTTTTTCCGGATAGTGTACATAGTTCCCCTGTGCCGCAGCGGCGAGCGCCGATGAAATGTCGAAGGTGAATCTTCTATTATAACATCAATTTTATAATCATAACCGATGTCCCTCTCTGTCACCTTTTCTTGAATAGACTCCAAAGGTAGGCAACAACATATATGAGCTAATGACGAAGCGTTCTTTAAAAGGTAATGAATGAATTTTGTGTATAGGTATTTGTAACAATTTGTTTTATAATCATAAAACGCCGTAAAGCTACAGTCACATTTGTCAACCTACGATACTATGCGATGTTGTACATATTGAAAACAATACTAATTGCTGATGCAAGCCCTTAATTTAAATTACGTAAATACTGCAACATGACGCGTACTTTGAAATTACCAAGTGGACTTTCAAGTCTGCGGGAATTGTAATTTATTTTTCATGAAAGGTTGAATTAGGTAACTTCTTTCGTAGTTGTAGAAAAGATACCTAATTAAAACTTAACCAGAACGGGATTCACGTATGAAATTACAGACATTGCGTCATTAAAAATATGTATAGGTAATAGAAATTTATAAAAAACAATATACAGGTATTGCTCGTTGCAACATAATGTACAAAAGATGACCTAAATAAAACTTTCTGTGAAGTGCATTGTCGAGCCTGCGTTGCGAGTTTGAAAATACTCGATAAATATTTTTGTAACCTGTAGATTGTGTTTTTTTTTAATTACATTGACATTAGTTTCTCAGTGGTCTTGTGCCCCGAAAATTTGTCCAACTAAACACTCGAAATCGACATCCATATCTAAAATTCCAGAGAGATTTTTGTTAGTAAACTTTGCTTACCCTTCTGGGAAACGGGCACGTGTTGTGTTTGTTGAAAAACCTATTCCCACAGCACGAGTCCAGTGGATTTGACGGTGGAGGAGATGCATAGGAAGGGTCAATTTCCTCTTTATGTGCGTCTCCTTCTCCGTCGGATAAGGGTAGGCAACGCATCTGCGATCGCGGATGTCTATGGGCAGCGGTCGCTTCGCCATTTAGGCGGATTCAGGTGGCCGCTTGCTCGTTTGCCACCTTATGTTATAAAAAAAACGACTGGATTCTTCGTATTGTCATCGTTCCAATTCAAACTCCTTTGTACCGAAAGCAATTCATTCAACGAATATGGAGTTGCACTTAAGCAAATTGTAAATCGATAAAATTTACTCCAACATGTAAGTTTATCCTCAAACGCTATCGCTATCGTCGCGACGTGAACGTGAAAAGCTACTTATTACGCACGAACTAGTAAAACCTGTTAAACTAGTTAACTATTTCCATACTTTTAACTTTGATATTGGCATAAATTATATGAGTGAGAGTAAACTCTGTACTCTAGACTTTCATAACCTCCAAAGTGTAGTATTAAAACATGAATACTGAAAAAGCATTGTGCGCCTAACATTTTATTTGCTTTGGCTAATTGAAACTAAAGACCTTTCGGAATACAAAACTAGATAAGTAGATTTGGAAGTTGATTACAAAACTAAAAAGTATGGTTTCCACCAGTAGATGTCACATAATATAATCCGTTACTAGATTTTTGTTTTCTAGATTGTTCAGTAGACATTCCCGTACGCAGAACGTTTATCAATATTCAGAAAAGCGCAAACGTAGGCGTCTCCAGTTCCTCGGGATTCCAGGCTTTTGGAATTTAATTACTAGAAAGGAGGGCGTGCTATGAATTTATATGGCATTTATGAAATAGTAAGGTACTAATTGAATTTGGAATACACCTCAATCTACTCAGAATTTATATTTGTGTTAACGTTATCGGCTATCCTACTTTTATTATATTTGATAAAATAATTAGTCATACCTGACAACTGTTATGCAAGAGATACGATGTTTTAGTACTGCCAGTGTATAAAATATTTCCCTAAATTCTGCGACGTTTCATGGTTATTGTTTTATTTATTCCATTTTATAATCAGTTATCATACGTCCTGTATCCATCCTATCTTAAAATAAAATTGTTTTCAATGTGTCTTTTTAGCAACTTCCATTCTTTTATTATATTAAATCAATTTAATGAACTAAAAATTACGGCCTTTAAAATCAGATTGCCCCAAACTCGTCTTTCCTGAAAGTCCAACTAAAATATTTAGGTAACAATCCTAAAAGTGACTAATGTAAAACTTAGATAGGCCCAAAATATCGTTTACTGTTGGCTAAAAAATAACACTGTAGCCCAATTTATTTTTGCGAGTTAAAAATTCGTTGTCAGTTTTCGAGTATCTCGTTAAAGTACCTCAACAAATTGCATACTCTTAGTTTGCCAAGTTTTTTCAACCAGTGTTTTAAAATTCGGCACGATTTTATCACAGATTCATAAATTTTATTTCGTTGTTGCCGGAAACTCTTTGATATTATTTTCATTAAGAACAGTTTTTGCTTAACATTTTTTTATTTAAAAATAAACTAATGTTAAGTACACCAGTATTTTGCTCTATTTAGTTATTTATTTTAGTGGACTCTAAGTACAGTGGTCAATTAAATTAATTTTTACGACGCTCTCGGAGCGTCTGCAAGCTATAAAATAAATAGCAATGTAATTGTTGTTTAGGTTTTCGGTGGACCTGAGTCAAATGCGATCTCTTCGTCTTTTCTTCAACGATGACAATTGCACGTGCGGACAGCTGGTGGTGGCGTCGCGGGAGTCGCAGTACAAGATTCTGCATTTCCACCACGGCGGCCTCGACCACCTCGCACAGGTTCTGCACAGGTGGCACTCCTTGCTACACAACATCAAGCTCACGCCAGGTATCATGCTATTTGTAAGCATTTTAACTGTACAATAGTTCTTAATTTTTGTTATAAGCGTTGAATTGTTTTCTAACCAAAGCAATTTAAAAGACGTCAGATGAACGTATTGAAGTAGGTATCACAAAGACCGTTCATTGGTTCTTGAAGCTCTGTAGCGTCTTTTACGCGGTCGTTACTTTAAAATCTTCCGTTCTTCGTTGTTTCGATAAGCAAAGGTTCGATAATTCATGTTAGGCATTTTTAATGTTACAGGCTCAGAAGAACCTAATTTACCTTATCGACACTTCATGGTGTGTCGTCCCGAAGTACAAAAATCGGAGCAACATCCAGAAGAAGGGAAGGTCTCTAAAATAACTCCAGAGCTGTTCTACGGAAAGATTATGAATAGTAAAGGTGTTATAGAAGATGATCTCTTCTTGAGGAAGTGTGTCTTCTTTGGCGGTCTGGATAAAGAATTAAGAAGAGAAGTGTGGCCGTTCCTTCTTCACTGCTATCCTTACAGTTCGACGTATGAGGAGAGAGAAATTATACTCCAGATTAGAACAAGGGAATATGAAGAAATTAACAAAAGAAGATTGGAAAAAATGACTCCAGAGCAGCACGCGATATTCTGGAAGACGGTTCAGTGTGTTATAGAAAAAGACGTTATTAGAACGGACAGAGGGAATCCATTTTTTGCTGGCGAAAATAATTATAATATTGAAATCATGAAGAACATTCTATTGAATTATGCCGTTTACAATCCGGTGCTCGGGTAAGTCGACATTTCCTTCCTACTTTTATCATGAGTTAAATAGAGGCCAGTTCAGAGGTTATACCTTCGCCTTGCGATGTAGCGGTCAAGGATTAAAACAGCTCAGAATACTGAATTCAGTTTATGTGTATAACTGCTATGTTTGGAGTGGTTTAAAAGCCGTTGACGAACTCAGTCATTTAGCATTCCCTATAGTGTAGTTGGAATAGGAAATTACAACGAAAGGAGCGTCGACGAACTTGGTATGTAGATTTTGAATGAGAAATCCACTGACTCTATGACTATAAAAAGACTCTGCGTGCGGTAATAAAGTCTTGGTTCGATCATGTGTATTTTATCGTAATATTTGTAACCAGGTATACGCAAGGCATGAGCGACCTCCTGGCACCAGTGCTGTGTGAGATCAAATGCGAGGCGGAGGCGTTCTGGTGCTTCGTTGGACTGATGCAGCGCGCGATCTTTGTCTGTACGCCCACAGACAATGACATGGACAATAACCTTGTGAGTGAATTTAAATAAAACTTTCATGAGACATTTTAATACACACATGGTATGAACAGGGCACTAACCGTGATTGTGATATGTAGAAGCGGGATAAGAAGTGTTTTAGTACTGCGCCCAAACGAAATTTTATTTGAGTTGCTGGCACGTTACCTGTTTATAGCAATTCCTTTGTGCACTTTGTTCATCAACTCGTTATTCTTGAGTGTCATGACCTGTGACTTCCTGCCGCATATTGATAAATTTGCGCGAAACAATGATGATTTTTTGACATTAATTTAAATGCATTTAATTTATGTATTGGATTACTCATTGCATATTATTGGCTGATTATAAAATTTAAATTACAGAGTTTCCTGCGTGAGCTTATCAGGATAATGCTGCCACATTTCTACAAACATTTGGAGAAGCATGTCGACGCCATGGAGTTGCTGTTCTGTCATCGATGGATACTATTGTAAGTTAAGAAAGTTTGCCGTTGACTTTACAAAGTTATATCATCAGTTTAAAAATTAATAGACAATGAACATTTATACTAGACGAGCATCTTTGTGACAAAAAGACGACTAGGTTAGGATTATATAGGATATCTGTTAAATTCTGAAATCTAGATGTAAGATATGTCAGAATTTAATGAATGGCGAATTTGCTTAATATTTCTATTAATCCATTTTCTTTATCATGAGGTGTCAAACGAGCAAGCGGCCATCTAAATTCGCCAAAATGGCGAAGCGACCACTACATAGACCATAGACATCCGAAAATGCAGATGAGTTACCTACCCTTAATTGAGAAAGGATGCTGGTCCTTCCTATGCCCAATCCAAAGTGAATTGGGCATAGGAAGGACCCTTCCCATTCTCTCCTTATAAGAAACGAATGGGACAAAAAAGAGGACTAAAATTAGGCCTCCGGCACACACACTTATCAGACGAACCTTGGTTATGTTAGTTGCACAATATGACAGATGTTTGCACCAACATTGCAGATGCTTCAAGCGTGAGTTCACGGAGGCGGTGGCGCTGCGCATGTGGGAGGCGTGCTGGGCCACCTACCAGACGGACTACTTCCATCTCTTCCTCTGCCTCGCTATTATCGCGGTCTACGCTGATGACGTCATCGCGCAGGATCTCAACACAGACGAAATGTTGCTGCACTTCAGTTCGTTGGGTAAAGTTGCACTCTTTTATATCTGATTCTCTGATCCATAATTTTCAAAGACAAAATTACGCGACTTTTTTTTACTATATACGATTATTCCGGTTATTGTCCATACTTTCTTGGATTATACTTTAATGATTCATACATTATCTGTTAAAATAAATATTTTAACGATAACACGATCAGATACGATTTGATCATATTGACATTTTAAAAAAAAGTGATAGATTATGGAGGAAAACGGACATTGGGTCGCCTAAAGCCCGAGCTATGTTTGGCCTGAACAGCTTAGTGTTTTTTTTATCTACCTTTTGACAATACAAAATCACATTAAAACCAGTTTTACATAATAAACGATAAATGAATCACTGAATATTGAATCAGTTAGAATCGAGCGTCTATAGCGGGTCTAATCAACCTTCCACAGCAATGTACATGGACGGTCGACTGATCCTGCGTAAGGCTCGAGGTCTCCTCCATCAGTTCCGTCAGCTGGTGCGTATCCCGTGCACGCTGGCGGGCATGTGTCAGCGCTGCGGCCCCGGCATTTGGGACTCCACGCACCGGCCCAGCGTCGAGTGCACCGGCGCACACGACTTCTGCGCATATGCAGTGCAATAAATTAACTGCATATTTGAAACAAGGAATATCACGGATGAGTATTTTATAACTGTAGAATTAAATGTAATAATTCAAAGATTGAAAAAGCTATTTGTCATATTTCAACGACATTTTTTTATTGATTGAAAAATATACATTCTCTAAACATTTTTAATTTTCAAAGATTATTTTAAGTCATAATTAGAAACTAGATTTCTTTTTGTGTTTAAGTTATATAGGTTTGTAGAAAAAACACCGCGTAATTTCTAGTCATTGTAAAATAGAAAAGTATTTATTCCTATATATCCTAGTACAAATTTATTTAACGCCGCGTGCCTAACAATAAACTATATAAAATAAATGCTTGGTATTGCAAAACATTGTTTATAAATGATATTAGTCGTGTGCAAAAGGTTTGCCGATGACTCACCGCATCCCATGCTCGTCCAATGAGTACCGCAGTTAACGCGTGACGTCATGAAGCCATCGGCAAAGCTGCTCACGAGTAATACGTCATAGTATTGAATAAATTTTGTGAAATATCGTACTTGTACAGATGTACTTGATACATAAATGTAGGTATGTATTAACCAAAAATGTAGTTAAGTAAACATTTAAGACGCAAGCAAAAATAGCGTAGATATTTAGAATGTTGACAAAATATTTATAAAGGTTTCTGTTGCAAAATCAGTCTCTGTTCAAAATCTATAATCTTCAAAATAATATTTGCCTTTTCAAAATCTTAAATAAAAGTTCAAAGTATTTAAATATTCACTTAGTAAATAACAGTATTAAAAATGTATAAACGTTTTGTAAAAGTTGAAGAGTTTTATCAGAAATATATATGTTTGGACATATCAATTGACGTTCGTTGTGTTCAATCGAATTTATTTAACACTTTCTTGGAGTGTAATTCCATATATTGCCTAAACAGCAAACTGTCATAACTCAGTGACTAAAAATTATTTTGCTGGAAGTATGTCGTTGTAATAATTAACAGAGAAAACACTATTAACGCTAATCGAAGTTATAATGGCTTCAAAAAATCAGTAATTCGTAATTTAGATGCCCTTAGGCGCTTTCGGAAAATTCACATAAAACTAAAACATGCTGTTGGCGTGAACATTTGCATAAAACAACTTATAAGAAATATTTTTATGTGAGTTTTTCGATTCATATCGCTAAAGAAATTTACATAGGATCTTGTTAAATTAAACGACGAGTTTTGTTTGAAATACACTAAACATAGTGTTTATTATAAGAAATACCATGTACCTGAGGCGTTTAACTGTAGTGTCTCATATCGGAACTGCCATATCTTAAAAAAAATACAATGACTATACGTATATTTGGCAGCTATTAAAAAAATTATCGTAAAAGTTTGTTGAAGTGTTTTATAAATTTTAAAGTAAAGATATACAAGAAAATTTTATCATTATTATGTAAATAGTAAAGAGTATTCTAAAAAAGAATATTCTACACCTATTTATGACTATGATGTACTCCTTTGACCTTGAATTTTTGTTACTAGAGTAAATGTAAATTTACTTAAAATGTACTTCAGCAAACTGTACCTGTTTGGCAGTGTAATTTTCACTTTTTTTTATTACATTTCATAAAATCAAACTTTATAAAATTCTGTCAATGGTTATTTTTAAAATATTTTGCAAAATGGGAATTGTTACGCATACTCTGTGATATACATCGATCTGCTTGTAATATTATGTTTATAACGATATAATGGATTTTAGAAAACGTATTCCTACCTTATTTGAAATAAATGTTTCAACAATTACATTTTGCTAATTTTATTTCTGAGGCGGAGTTTATTCTGTTATCATATAAAATTTTGGTAACTCGACATGACGCAATAGTAGGAATCTGGCAACACTTTTAATTTGTATATTCTCTTAGCTTTTATTTTTTTAATATCACTGACCTATTATATGTAAAAGGCTATAAGCATGTTCTGATTATCGTAAAGACGTTTAATTTTATTGCACGACCTTATCACTTTTAACGTCTAACAGCCCAGTAACCGATTTATAACAACATTTTAATTAAAAACAAACTTTAGAAACGATTTATTTCGATTTAATTGATAAAGTCGATTTTTGTTTTAATCGATTACAGCTTAAGTAACTCTCTAAGGCGAACTCTTCTAAACACAGTAAGAAAAATAACCTGTTTGTTTTAATGAAAATGTTTGGATGTAAAATATTTATTATTTTTTATTGTATTTTTATAGCCTTTACTTCTATTGTATGCTATAAAAAAATAAGAATAACAACACCGTTATTCCATTTTCATTGGTTCATATACGTACACCTAAACTGTTTTAGAAGTAATAGGTAGTTTATAAAGTACATAATTTTTATATTTTAGTACAATAAGAAATGATTTTTTTTAACTGGCTACAGAGTTTGATAACATTATCATTTTATTTTTGTCAATGTCGTGCTGACCTTGAAGTGTACAATAACGTAATGATGGCAAAAATTGTGCCTTTTCATTCCGGATCGTATCCATTGACCATGAAAGCTGTCGGATTTTACAAGTTTCTGCCAATATCTGATGCGAACAGTCTCGTCGATCTTGAAGTAAGTATTCCAACACTGGAAAGTAATCAAGTTTTAGTAGAAGTAAAAGCTGTTGCTGTTAATCCCATAGACACGAAAATGAGAGCTCCGAAGCCTCATATAAACAGTTTTCCAAGAATTCTCGGTTGGGATGGAGCCGGTACAATTGTCGCCAGAGGTGTTAATGTTAAACCTAATGTTTTCAATACAGGAGATGACGTAATCTTTACGGGAGATATATTCAAAAACGGCTCTAATTGTCAGTATATAGCTCTCGACGAAATATTTGTTGCACCAAAGCCAAAGAACCTTACATTTGTACAAGCGGCTGCTATGCCACTTACAACGGTCACGGCATACGAAGCGCTTTATGATCGACTTTCATTATCTGCTAAAGATAAAGGTAAGTCTTTGCTTATAATAAACTCTGCCGGGGGAGTTGGCTCCGTAGCTTCACAGTTGGCTGCTAATTTGAATCTCAGAGTGATTGGTACAGCTTCACGTCTCGAAACACAAGAATTTTCAAAGAAGAATGGAGCTGATATAGTGATAAATCATACCAAAGATTTACTTCCACAACTGGAAGCTCACGGTTTTGGTAACGGGGTTGATTACATCTTGGCTAATTACGATCCCTATCCATATTGGGATGTAATGATGAAGGCTATCAAACCTCAAGGCAAAATATGTCTCATCGTTGACAGCAGTGGACTTGTAGATTTAAAACCACTAAAAGACAAGAGTATAACATTAGTGTATGAAATGATGGCCACACGAATAAAATATAATACAGAAGACAAATATAGACATCATGAAATTTTAAAGATTGCCTCAAAAATGCTTGAAGACGGAATACTAAAAACTACACTTACGAAAACTTTGTCGCCAATAAATGCTGCTACGTTAAAAGAAGCTCATAGAATGATGGAAGAAAAACGTATGGTTGGAAAATTGGTTCTATCAGGATTTTAAACCAAAATTTGTTTTTTTGAAATAAACTTTGTAACAAACGATATTACTTTTATTAAATAAGCCCTTAAGCTAAGCTGAGCTAAGCCCCTAAGCTATGCTAATCTAAGCCCCTAATTTTAAAATCGGTGATCGGTAATCCTTAAGGCAAGGACGGATTCAGCTTTGGCGCCAGGGGTGGGTCACATAGTCACTTGACAAAATATGTAAATATATTTTGTCAATCTCTTGACAGACCAGCTTAGGGGGTCATGACCCCCATGACTTCCCTGATTCCGCCGTTGCCTTGAGGTCTAGATCACAGTGGAATGAACCCATGTACTTTCTCACGAAAAACAAATAGAAATCTAATTTAAAAATCTGCTGCAATATTTGTTATTGTACTTTCCAGGGACTTAATAGCTTTGATTCAATACGTACTATTAACATTGATGAAATCTGCACGAACCACAGACTCTTACTTAAATAATAACATCAGATGAATTTAAGGAATTCAATACAGTTTTAGTTTGTTTTTGATCAATCGAGAGTAGAATAAAGGTGGGTATAGAATATCGATATTCAAATATTAGCACTGAGGCGAATTAGTTTTTGGCGCACAATCTGATTATCTTTATGGACATACAATTCTTTAGATTTGTAAATGATAGATTAGAGGAGAAAGTAAGGGATGAAAACAAAAAACTTGTTTCTAGCAACAAAAATTTACTTTGTCAGTTACAAGCGAATTATAACACTAAAAGCTATTACAGTAATTTGCAACAATTTAACATAGATTTAAGATAACCAAGATTACTGAAGAACACTGAGTTCAGTCTGATGTAGAACTAGCCTTACTCTATTGTGAGTAGCCTATCTATGTATATGTTCAACCCATTGTTACTGCCTAAATTACCTAAACTTGACCCATTTAAAACTGTGAATTGTTATTCATAGCGTAGTCTTCGCTGGAGTGTTAACCAGTTAGTCGGGCTTTTGGATTTTTTTAATTAATCAATTTGGTGATCGATAACACAAGTCTTGAATTTGTAAGGTAGTTACAAAAATCACCTGGATATATCAAAGTACCGTCAATTCTGTGACATGTTACTAAGGGAAATATTGAAAGCAATGATTTTTAATTGCTGGCTAAGGAATTTAATCTTATTATTAAACTACAGTACCTGTCGAACTGACGTTCAAGAAGATGCAGTACAAGAAAATGTAACGATGACAAAAATACTGCCGAAGGTAACAGGAAAGTTTCATACGACTATGAAAGCAGTCGGCTTATATCAATATTTGCCAATATCTGATAAGAACAGCCTTATTGATATGGAATTAAAATTACCAACAGTAGAAAAAACTGAAGTATTAGTGGAAGTTAAAGCTATTTCAGTTAATCCTATAGATACAAAAATCAGAGCACCAAAGCCTTATATTGAAACTTATCCTAGAATTCTTGGTTGGGAAGGAGCAGGTACAGTCGTTGCTACAGGTAAAGATGTTAATATTTTTAATTTAGTAGACGACGTATACTTTACTGGGGACTTGCGCAGAAATGGTTCAAATGCCCAATATGTAGCTCTCGATCAAATATTCATTGGTCCAAAACCAAAGAACCTGACCTTTGAACAAGCGGCTGCTATGCCATTCACAACCGTTACAGCTTTCGAAGCACTTTATGATCGACTTTTACTTACTAATAAAGATAAAGGTAAGTCGCTACTTATAATAAACAGTAGCGGGGGAGTTGGCGCCATAGCTACACAGTTGGCTGCTTATTTGAAACTCAAAGTGATTGGAACAGCTTCAAGTATCGCAACGGAAGAATTTTCTAGAAGAAACGGTGCACAAATTGTGGTAAATCATACAACAGATTTGCTTCCACAACTGGAAGCTAAAGGATTTGGTAATGGAGTTGACTACATTTTGGTTAACGATAATCCTTACCCATACTGGGATGTCTTAATAAACGCTATTAAACCTAAAGGGAAAATATGTATCATTGTTGAAAATAGTGGAATGGTAGACATAAAGCCACTTAAAGACAAAAAGGTAACATTAATGTCCGAGATGATGGCCACAAAAATGAACTATGATATCAAAGACAAAGGTAGACATCATGAGATTTTAAAGATTGCATCCAAAATGTTCGACAATGGTACACTAACGCCGACTCTCACAAAAACATTGGCACCAATTAACGCTGCCACTTTACGAGAAGCTCATAGACTTATAGAAGAAAAACGTTTACTTGGAAAATTAGTTCTATCAGGATTTTAAAATAATACACAAACATATTTTTGATTGAAATAAACTTTCTCAACTAAAATTTTATTGTATTTGCAGTACACTTGGATCAAATTCTTGTCCCTTAAAAGGAGATCCTTCAGCATTCCAGGCTTTTTTTAATATTTCCATATTACGGATTTCATCACTAGTCGGTAAACCTTTCAGCTTCTGCTCTTGGTTCCATTGCAATTCTCGAACCTAAATGAATAAAATATACTACTTAATATATCCTTTTACATGTTTTTAAGTAAAAGATAATTAAATCTAGAGGTAATGTTGATGAGTGTGCTACTTTTGTATCAGATACAAAATCAAACCTTAATTCCTAGTGTTATAAAATGTATTTTACCTTAGCAATGTGATCTTCGGGTAGTTCATCAAGAGGCCTTGAAGCATCAATCTTATTTAAATCAATTGGTTCTTCACCACTGAGAAATCTATCCCACCATCGTTCTTGTACTTTCTCTGCAAAGTTAATTATAAGCAAAAATTTATTAAATATGTTTGAAAAACTATTACCATGACTGTTTTCTTTTGAATCAAATCTTGAGACATATAGATGCTGTATAGTTGTGACTAATTATGTGTTTAAGATGTAACACAAACACCTAAACAACATCCATAATCATATAACTTGCCGATGTCAGAAAATCATCTATATAGATAACAATGAAAGATTAATTAAAAGTTAAAATTAATAATATGAAATTATTTTATTAAAATGTAGTGTTTTTAATCAACTATTTTATAATATACTAGCTTTCGCCCGTGTCTTCGTGTGCATAGAAATAAAAAAAACAAAAGTGAGTAGCCTATGTGTTTTCCAGACTATCCTCTGTCTATGCCAAATATCATCAAGATCCATTCAGCTGTATAGGTTGCAAACTTTGACAAACATCCATCAATCCATCTTAACTTAGGCATTTTTAATATTTGCAAAATAAGTAAGATAGTTAATTCTCTACAACTAAAACCTAGTTAGGACAACTCTTTTTAATTTTCCCTTGACATTTGAGATGCTATTATATTTCTATATTTTACAGTGAATAGTGCTTGCATTGTGTGGTGGAAGAAATTAAAATGTTTTGATCTTTACCCAGATGAATTAAGAGTTTCCCTTCGCTTATGCTCCACACACTATCACTTGCTTTGATCTTAAATGGCAGCTTGTCCTTTATAATGGTATCTCCATTCTTACATTGTATGCAAATGTCCCCATTATTTATTACCACTTTTAAATCTTTAGATTTTGTATTCGGTGGAAGTTTTACAGTTACATCTGAAAAATAAATAACATATTGCTAAAAATTTCACTCAGTAAGTAATAAATTACAACATCCAATAGATATTTTTTATCTGTTTTTTCAAAGACTAGAGGGAGATTATGTACCAGTGTTTTGACAGTAGACATATTTATGATTTAGGCACTTAAATTCAGATGAATTAAGCCATACCTAATTCCATGATAGTCTGAGCCCATGAATACTGTTCCCTAATCGCGCCATTATAAGATTCACTATTTTTCTGGACCGGTATCACTGGTGGCTTATAATCCTCGGGGAAATTACTCTTGTCTTTCGATTGTTCTTCATGTTCATTCGCAGTATCTTGTGCGCAATCACCACTACTGTGAGCTTCATCTGCAGTATATTCATCATCTTGAGTAGTGTCTTCCTCAGCAATTACCTCAACCTCCTCAGCTACTGTATCACACATGATTTCATTGTTTATCTCCGATGTTGGTTTGCTACATGATTTATAATTCTTTGGGTCACAAGTACGTAAAACTTTGATTACCAGTTCCTCCGCAACGCCTGGAGGAAATCCCATGTTTTCATATTTATCTTCAGGCACATAATAGAAATCAGTTCTGGGAATATAAAATGTGTAATTCAGTTCTTCTAAAAGCTTTGTAAGTCATTATAAAGACATAATGTAAGATTTTGATGTAGTTCTTACCTTCGAGCTAAAAAATTGAAAATAGAAGACAAAAATCCCAATATAGATTTTTCATTCACCAATATCGATGTTAGAACATCGTCATATTTATCTATATTATTACTGTCTGACATTTTAATAAATTCTAATAAACTAAAACTGCGGGTTTTCTTAGGAGTATAAACAAAAAAATCGATGTCGTTTGACAGCTGTCAGACTAATGTCTTAAATGTGTTGCCTGCCTTAAAACAATTTGTAATTTGGTTTTTGGTAGATTTTACAAAAAAACTTGGAACTGCAATACACAATAACAATCTTTTATAGATATATTAACAACATTCCATTTTTGATACTTATATTTAATGTAGATAAACCGGCAAAAGGGACAAGTAAAGCGTTTTTAATTGATATTCGATTTTAAGTTTAAGATTGTGGGTATTACAATACGTTGCTGATGGTGGTAATAGTATCGTCCAAATTAGAACAACTCCATAACGTATCTTGGGGAAAAGGGTAAATTATGAAAGTAATTGTATAACAATTTAATTATCTAAAAGTAATTTAAACTAGAATTATCTTTTATCAAGTCTATTCTACCAAAACCTACCTAGTATAGTAGTAATTTTAAGACATGGCATCACAAAACTGGTTTTTTTAATTTACATTCCCGCCACTTGGAGGAGTTGTTCGCTTTCGAAAGTTTCACATCCGCAAGAGAGCGGCAAGCAAGGCAGACCAAAAGTGAAGTAGGCGAAGTGTCGCGCGCGAACACGGTGTGCTGCAGGCGATGACCGCATTCATATGAGTTTTTTACATTGTGAGAGTGCTGTCGTGTTCTTCGTCTCATCAAGTGTGTACAAAAATGCTGCATAGGTGAACTATTCGAATAAACATAGTGTTGTGATTGTGCTACTCTATTCTAATCCTTCTAAACGAATCTTAAAAGATTGTAAAAATGCCTTGCTCAGCGGTAACTTTGTCTATAGCGACCATTACAGCAATCGTGGCTGCTGCTTTGATGGCCATCGCATTTTCTACAGACAACTGGTTATATATCGAAGTTAAACGGAGTAACATTCAGGTAAATATTACCTTATTTTTTATATTTTCAAATTCTTCAACCGCCGTAACTTTATGAGGGTATTTTCAACAATTTTGTTATTTCGGGTAGTATACATTGAGGAGACGATGTCGGCACAGCAAGACATAATGAGTATTGCGAATAAATGTGTATGATGATTTAAAACTTTGTTAAACGAATAATTCAAATATTATGTACCATATGTTTTTAACTTTAAAAAGCGAAATAACCTTGTATTTCGTCTAGTGAAGCTGCGTCAACAAAACTTGTTTTCTTCATTACTCTTACGAACTGCGATATATTTTTTTAAGAAAATGTAAATAAATTCACATATCACTGTTAAAAAATATAGATATTCATCTATACAGTTGTTATAATGATTGCATACGTGCATACATGTATAGATAAAATCATTTGTTATAACGTGATTCTATTGCTGTAACATATAGTATCGAGTCCTTGCCACGAGACCGTTATAGTAGACACGGTACGCATAAATATGCACGTATTAATGACACGAACGTGTGCCTAACTGTACCGCACTATGCTGCACCGTACAGCACCGTGCCGCTCCTGTGCATCCATTCGTGGAGATAAAGACCGACCCAATTATTCCAGATATCTAACAAAAGAACCACTCGAAAGAACATAGCGTGCCAAGATTTTATCGATACATCGAAACAAAAACACAAGCGCATCACTACGGGAATGTTGCAATTACAAAACCCAGAATGACTACAATTGGAACATTTCACGCTTAATTTGATTATAATCTGTACCAAAGTTTTTTGTACACTCTTTCAGGTTGTATAGAGACAGGTCACATTTTTTTGCGATGAAAGATTCTTTGCTTTTATAGCTGTAGTTGTTTGTATGGGCTATTGTTGTCTTACGTATCTTGGACTGTAGCGCATATGACTTTTATTTTTATGTTTGTGTACCTGCGTAGATATTTTAGATACCTGTTGGACGGACTCGAAATATGGTAGATTCGTCTATTTCAATGAGCAGAGATTTCAATAACTCAAAATGTGCTATCGTAGTTCATTTAATGCTGGACCTCATCGAACGTGGTTTGAACTTGTTCCTTCAGATGTGTAAAATAGTCTCATAGACATTGAAAGAGTGGTTTTACACTTTTTATGAGATAAGAAAGATATTTCCTATCCGTAAGTTTCGAAAAATCATTATAACATTCAGCCAAGACTTTCAATTATAATTTGTTGAAAATACGAAAATCAAAATAACTGACCTTTGGCCATTTTTAAAAGAGTTTCCGAAAGTTGCCAGTGTTAAAAAATAGAAAAATAAAATACCACGAGGTTTGAGATTAGATTAAAGGTCAGATAGACACTATTATTTCTTTAAGAAATAGCTTACGTTATCGTTTGTATAAATAATTTTTATTGTAATTATTGACTGACATCATTAACTGTTTGCATTATATCATTATCATTACGAACATTAGTCATAGCCAAAATACGCAATCGGAATTTATACTTATGCAAGTCTAATAATAAGATTATTATTTTATGACCATTTGGAGCTTTCAAAATAGATTAAATCCGACTTTCAGTATCAAAGGGGCACAGTAAGAAACTAAATTGCAATATTTTTTACTGGCACATATCATTGATGTTTAGATATTTAAGAATATGCTTGAGTTAGGATGTTAAATATTTTCTTGACGTCCGTTTCAATTGCTGCAACAGCCTACCCAGGCGGCCATTTACCGTCCAGATTGATGAAATATTGAAGAAGGTTGGTATCAGTACCCGAAACAGACGTGCATGTACTTGCTTCCTACTTTTAAGTTACGGGCATGAGTCTTGTCGTATCCATAAACGAGTTATACGTAAAATTATACTGATTATAAGTGTCCATTCTATCGTATATTTACACAAATGGGTGGACATTGTCAATAGATTTGAGAAATTTGAATATTATTCAACTTAAACAGTTCGATGATGCGTCTTAGTCGTAAAGTGCGAGAGAAATCGAAATGTGAAAGTGACGAAAATTTGTCAGAGAATGTGTGCGGCGGAAGTTTGACCAGGCCCGTATTACTAATGTAAACTTGCTAAGATCTTGTTTGCCCACTGTACGACGCATACTAACAACCAATTGTATTTATTCTATACTAGCTTTCGCCCGCGACTATGTGTTCTTCCAGACTGTCCTCTATAAATGTGCCAAATTTAATCGAGATCCGTTCAGCCCTTTAGGCTACTAACGCCATCCATCCATCTGAACTTTCGCATTTATAATATTAGTTGGATTTATAGAGGATTTTGCTGAATTTTGTCAGTGGGTAAAGTAAATGTTGGCTTGAACATAAATCTACTTAAACATTATACAAAACGAATACTTTTTTGAAAAACATTGAGAGATTTTTTTTGAGATATACTTACAAAAATTGAGGACATGAAGATCAACTATTTATTTAGAAAATATTTTTAAACTTAATATTGTCAACTGTATAATAGGAAGTTGTTTGAAAAAACACAGTATTACCTCGTGTATTACAGGTTTTTATTTAAAAAAGCTTCGCATTCCGAATATGTAAAATGTACAAAAAAATTCAGATAAAAATGAACGAAAAAAAAAACATTTTAATAAACGTAAAACTGTACCTTCAGAATAAAAACCCGTAAATTTCGAACTCGAAACTTCGAAATGCTATCGTTTTATATAGATAATATAAACAATGGCTTACAGTATTTTTTAAAGAAATAAATGATTGTCTGATTTTCAACACGTAATTAACTCGTATAATCTTCCGATATGATAAAGGTATGTGTGGTCTTGAAAAAAACCTAAGAGTACATTTCCGTAGCTTAGCTACCTGCAGAAGGACCGGA